CATCTTCATAATAACCCTCTTCTAGGTACAGAATACTGGCCCTTTTTCTCTTAGGGGTTAATATGACAACATGCTAATAAGAAAATATAAAATGTAACTTCATTAAGAATAAATTAGGCTGGTGCCATGGCTCACTTGGCTAATCCTCCGCCTGCGGCGCTGGCACCCCTGGTTCTAGTCTCGGTTGAGGCGCTGTATTCTGTCCTGGTTGCTGTTCTTCCAGTCCAGCACTCTGTTGTGGCCCAGGAAGGCAGTGGAGGATGGCCCAAGTGCTTGGGCCCTGTACCCGTGTGGGAGACCAGTTAGAAGCACCTGGCTGCTGGCTTCGGATTGGCACAGTGCACCAGCCGTGGCAGCCATTTGGGGGGTGAACCAATGGAAGGAAGACCTTTCTCTCTGTCTCTCTCTCTCACTAACTCTGCCTGTCAAAAAAAAAAAAATTAGTTACATTATGCAAGTGAAATTTAGTAATGGAGTAGAGAACTAATGAGAGCAAACAAGTCAAATAAGGCAGCATCTGACACATTTTCTAGCTCCCTTCTCAAATACTGCTTCCTCAGCATAGATCATATCCCATCTCCTTGACTTTCCTCTGCATTCTGATTTCACCTTTTCAGCTCATTTGCAGTCATTTTGCCTATGATTAAATATTGATATTGCTCAGATGTTTACTATTGCCGTAGTTGTCTTTACACTTTACAAACATGTGTAGTGCTTGGGCAATCTCACCTATTCCTCATGACTTCATACTTTATATTATATTAATTTACTTTTCTCATGAACATAGAGCTTCCAGATCTTCCCATGCAAGTGCAGGGGCCCAAAGACTTCAGCCATCTTCTACTGCTTTCCTAGGCCATAGCAGAAAGCTGGATTGGAAGTTTAGCAGCCGAGACTTGAACCAGTGCTCATATGGGATGCTGGCACTACATGCAGTGGCTTTACCCATTATGTCAAACTCCAGCCTTGGCATTAATTTCAATACTATCTCATTCACAAGTTGTGCATGCATGTATAATACAGACACAAAAATAGCTGTAACACATAAAGACATACTATATTGGAAATGCCTGATGGTGTTGTACAGGTAGCCACAATACAATTATCCTTAAGGTGGCATATTAGCAGAAATTAAAAAGAGAATTAGAAAGAATCAGAACAAAATCTATAGCTACTATATATATATGAATATATATATATGATATTCAATATTTATAGTTGATAAAAGATAAATACTGATATGTGGGAAATAAAACCTATATCTTACCTTACAATATTACAGACTAGTCTACATGAACAATGTCTTCCTAAAACCTTTCACTGTGCCAACTCTATGGCATAGTAGTAAGCCTTCGCCTGCAGCACTGGCATCCCATATGGGCACTGATTTGAGTCCCTGCTGCTATACTTCTGATCCAGCTCTTTGCTAATGGCCTGGGCATGCAGTGGAAGATGGCCCAAGTGCTTGGGCCTCTGAATGCATGTGGGAGATGTAGAGGAATCCCCTGGCCCTGGCTTCAGATAAGCTCAGCTCCAGCTGTTGCAGCCATTTGGGGAGTGAACCAGTGGATAGAAGACCTCTTTTTCTGTCTCTCCATCTCTATTTCTGTAACTTTGCTTCCTAAATGAAAAGATAAATATTTAAAAAACAGAGGGAAAGATTTTCACATTTTACATTTCTGTTACTCAAAACTAGCAGAGGACTACATTATACATAGAAAGATAAAATCTGAAAATCATAAGTTTAATGCACTGTAGAAAAAATTTTAACAAATATTTCTGATTTTGTAAGCATTATATACTAAATTAATGATATAATGAGTCACTGGGCTTTGTCAACCACTTATATTACTTAATAGCTTTCCAAAATTTATCATTATGTGTGGTTTTCAACACATGCACAGGATTTTATCAGTGTAGTGAACAAGGAGTTAACTATTAAAGGATTTTTTTTAAGATTTATTTATTTATTTAAAGTCAGTTACACAGAGAGGAGAGGCAGAGAGAGAGAGAGAGGTCATCCACTGGTTCACTTCCCAACTGACCACAAAGGCCAGAGCTGAGCTGATATGAAGTCAGGAGCCAGAAGCTTCTTCCAGGTTTTCCATATAGGTGCAGGGGCCCAAGGATTTGGACCACCTTCTGCTTTTCCTGGCTGTAGCAGAGCTGGATCAGAAGTGGAGCACCCAGGACTTTAACCAGCATCCATATGGGAGGTCAGTACTGCACGCAGTGGCTTTATCTGCTATGCCACAGTGCCTGCCCCTGTAAGATTTTTTAAAATTGCATTGTCATCAACATCTGCAAAGCCTCTAAAACACATACATAATATCATGAATCAGTTCTGAGACTGACATTTGATTGAGTTTAATTCTTTTTAGCTAATTTGTCATTAGTATGTGATAGCTGCAACTATAATTAATAGTTAACTAATCATGTTAGCATTAAAATTGAATGATTTATAGAATTTGGGCATGACGGTGAATAGCAGTAGGGGCACTTTTTTATTTAAATTGATGAGAATTGCTTAAAAATCTATATAATAAGCTGTTATAATAAAGTCCAAATATTTATAGGAAGTAGAGAAATACCCCAGAAAGTTTAGGATTCACCTTTTAAAGTATTAATTTTTTACAGTTACTTATTATATGACAAAATTTGTAGATAATGCTTTCATGAAACAAATGGTAACTTCTGTTTAATCTCTGCCATTTAGTAGAACTGGGTGAGCATTCTTATGTATTTCCTTGTTTAAAGGTTTATTCTTCCATCAGTGAACATCAGTGAAGCTAATGTTTTCTCTGTTAATGTATTATTCTTTATTCATTTCATAGTAATTTTTTTTCACAGTTCAATGTTGTTTTAAACCATATAAGTTTCTTTTAATTATTTCCATTCACCTTCTCTTCCAAGTATGATACTGGACACCTCCACATTTGTAACTGTTTATCAATTAAAATGGAAAATAAACATAAAACTTATTCTCAGGGTATATGCACAAGTTTGAATGATGAATTTGGCATGATTATGAAAGATTATAGCCATCTTACATAAGGCAATTTGTCTCTAATCTTTCTGTTGCTATAGGAAAATATATATTTGTTACATGTTTTGAGTTGAAATTTAGAGTACAATATGCTAAATTTTTTAGTCATGATGTCTGAAACATTCTTTATTGTCATATAGATGATATAGTGGGCAGTGTTTTAGTGCTACACTGGAAGTAGACACTTAGCATTCTGCAAGGGTAAGAGTTAACTGGTACTAATACACAAATCAGTTAAGTGTGTTTTTGAATTGTTAGAGTCATGCAATCTTTTATAGTTTTGAGGCACATAACTGGATTTAAGGATAGGATCAGGAATGTGGGGAAAGAATCTCATGCAGTTTCTTTTATTTTTTTAAGATTTATTTATTTATTTGAAAGGTAGATTTACAGAGATTGGGAGAGACAGAAAGAGATAAAGATATCTTCCCCATCTACCAATTTATTGCTCAAGTGACCACAGTTGCTGAGACTGGGCCAGGCCATACCGTGAGCCTGGGACTCCATCTTTGTTTCCAATATAGGGGGAAGGGACACAAATACTCAGGCCATCTTTCATTGCTCTTGCAGGCACATAAGCAAGGGGATAAGATTGCAAGTGGAGTAGCAGGGACCTAAATTCTTTGTTCACATGGCATGCCAGCATTGCAGATAGAGGCCAAACATGCTGCACCACAATGCTGCTACCTCCTGCAGGTTCCTAAAGAAAACTTTATGCATTTCTCTCAGTTATTTACAAATGTAGATTGTACTGCAGACAGTCCAAAGTTCTGTCTTTGGGCAAATAATCCCATTGTTTTCACTTTTATTTGGTGTAATGTTATTTTAGTTCTTCAAAGGTTTGTCAATAGAATAATCATACACAAAGCCAGAAGCTATTTTCTCTTCTGTGTCTTACTTGAATCTTCTTATTTAAAAATACTTATGAGCTTGAGAGAGAAAGAAGTTGATGGAACAAGAGAGAGAGCTCCTGTGCCTTGTTCACTCCCTAAATAACCATAGCAAGCATGGGTGGAAAAGGTCTGAAGTCTGGAGTCAGGAATGGAGTCTAGGCCTTCCTAGTTGGTGGTGTCACCACTGCTTCCCCAGGTCTGCAGTAGCTGGGAGCTGGAAACTGGAGCTGGCACTGGAAATCCAAATTGGGCGCTCTGAGGTAGAAGTATGATATCTTAGCTGGTATCATAAACACTAAGCTACGTGTCAACCCTTTCTTTCTCTCTCTCTCTCTTTTAAGATTCATTTATTTATTTGAAAGGCAGAGTTACAGAGAGGCAGTAAAGAGAGAGAGAGGTCTTCCAGCTACTGATTTACTCCACAAATGGCCACAGTGGTAGGAGATGTGGTTGATCCAAAGCCAGGAGCCAGGAACTTCTGGTTCTCCCATGTGGGTGCATAGGCCCAAGCACTTGGGCCGTCTTCTGCTTTTCCAGGCCATAACAGAGAGCTGGATTAGAAATGGAGCTGCCAAGATTCAAATTTATGCCCATATAGGATGCTTTACCCCCTATGCTACAATGCCATCCCCATTACCTTCTCTATTAAAATATTATTTCTCAGCCATATTTGAAATGACTATGCATGATGTTTCCCTAGAAATTCTTCTTTGTTCTTCCCCATCATAGTTTCACTGATGTGTTCTTGCCTTTTCCCCTGAATACTAATACATTCTCCTTAGCATTGCTCACTCAAGAGTCAATATTGTCCCCCTTCAGCCTGTTGTGTAATTCCCCTTGACAGATGTGGCCCTTTGTGATTTGAAACTGTTTTCCTCCAGCTATGGCATTTTTCATATCCTTTAGGCCATAGGTTTGTTTCCCTGTTGAATGTCCAAATGCTCAACAAGTCTAAAATAAAAGCACATCCTTCCTTCTTCATTCATACCCATATAAAAGAAATACAACTGACAGTGTTTTGTGACAGAACTGATATGTTCACCAGAAGTGTTTTATTACAGGTGATGATAGTATTTGGAGACTTGGCTGTGTATTTCACCTGGGAGGAATGGCAGAACATGAACAATGCTCAGAAAATCCTATACAGGGATGTGATGCTGGAGACCTATGAAACCCTGTTTTCCTTGGGTGAGTAACACCCATCATATGCCCAATGGTAACATTTATTGCCATTTGACCAATAAGTGAATGCTTTAAAAGTTTAATAATTAGCAGGTATAGAATTTGAGGACATGAATAATCTGAATGTCTACCATCTAAGAAAGGATTCAAATTGAAACATTTGTTGCATAGCATCTGAACCAAGCTGTAGTCCTTTAATTAACCCAAGATAGTGAGTTCACAAAGACTTACATTGATTCTATTAATAGGGCACTGTATGACCAAACCTGACTTGATCTTCAAGTTGGAGCAAGGAGCAGAGCCATGGATGGCAGAAGAATGCCTAAATCAGAGCCTTCCAGGTCAGTCTACACATATGGACAAGGAGGCCAAGGCAGAAAGAGTGCAGCAGATGTTGTCTGGTGCTCTTTTCCTGAATTCTTCCCAAGTCTTACTCCTGATAACACCTGGTTTTGTATAAAAGCTTAGTAGCCATAGCTCAAACTTGCATTGCTTTGGGATTCTGGCACTTAGCCATGTTTTAACATATTTTACCACAAAAGCCATTCTGCCTTTCCTGAAAAAAATTCAGGTAATAAGCAAGATTTTGATTGAACATTGGGAAATCTATAGGTACACTTTAATATATTTTAATGTATATTATTTAATGTATATTAATGTATTAAAGAGAACAGCCATATAATAGTCATAAATAAGTATCTTGTACTGATTTTGTTAAAATCTTATGCCATTTGGATAACAACTAAATTCCATTTATATGAGTATGCCAAGAGTAAGTCATATGTGATTCAGTGACATGGTTATTTTTACTCATTTCAGTTGCCATGAAAGAGGATGACCTGCTTAGGAACAACCAGGAAAGTCAAGACAAAAATCTGAATCAGGATGTTATGAAAACTAACAAATCACCAGTTCTCAAGATAGTTGAATTAAGAAAAACACTTAATGCAAGTTCAAGATATATTCCAAAACTGATTATCAAAACAGGAACTTATTCAAGAATGAAACCTAAGGAGGGCAATCTATGTCACAATGTGTATCCTCTCAGTTGGCTTGATCAATTACAAGTTGAAGAGAAATTTGATGCCACTAAGTTATCTAGAAACTCTCTCCAATTCTGTCAGCCTCTTAGTCAGTATCACAAGATTCAAACTGTGAAGCAGCCATTTGAACATATAGTACAAGGGAAAGGCTTCACAAAGAAGAAATTCTGTAAATCTGATAGGATTCATGTTGTAGAAGCCTGTAATAAGTCAACCATCACTGTTGGAAAGACAACACATAGAGAAAAAGTTTTCCATGAAAATTCTAACCTCAGAATGTGTCAACAAACCCACACAAGAGAGAAATTTTATGAATATATTAGGTATGTGGAACCTGCCATTTACCAATCATATCTTGCAACCAATTGGAGACCACATATAGAGAAAAAACTCTATGTATGTAAACCTTGTGGAAAATCATTCACTTTTAAGTCCTGCCATAACATCCATTACAGTACTCAAATGCAGGAAAACCCCAATATATGCAATGAATATAAAGAAACCAGTGACCAGAAGTCAGATCTCAGTAGAAGTCAGAAAATTCACACACAGAAGAAAATTCATGAATGTAATAATTGTGGAAAAGCCTTTTTGTGCAAGTCATCCCTCAGCAAACATAAGAGACTCCACACAGAGGAGAAGGCTTATGAATGTAATGGCTGTGGAAAAGTTTTTCACCAGAGGTCAAACCTTATAATGCATCAGAGAATTCACACAGGGGAGAAACCTTATGAATGTAATGACTGTGGAAAAGCCTTTAGTCAGAAGTCAAGCCTCATAACGCATCAGAGAATTCACACAGGGCAGAAACCTCATGAATGTAACTACTGTGGAAAAGCCTTTGGCCAGAAGTCAAGCCTCATAATGCATCAGAGAACTCACACAAGGGAGAAACCTTATGAATGTAATCACTGTGGAAAAGCTTTTGGCTGGAAGTCAAACCTCATAATGCATCAGAGAACTCATACAGGGGAGAAACCTTATGAATGTAATGACTGTGGTAAAGCCTTTGGCCAGAAGTCAAACCTCATAACGCACCAGAGAACTCACACAAGAGAGAAAATTCATGAATGTAATGGCTGTGGAAAAGCCTTTGGCCAAAAATCAGACCTCATCAAACATCGGAGAATTCACATAGGGGAGAAGTGTCATAAATGTAATGACTGTGGAAAAGCCTTTGTCCTGAAGTCAAGTGTCATACGACATCAAAGAATTCACACAGGGCATAAACCTTATGAATGCAATGACTGTGGAAATGCCTTTAGCCAAAAGTCAGACCTCATCAAACATCAAAGAATTCACACAGGGGAGAAACCTTATAAATGTAATGACTGTGGGAAAGCCTTTGGTCAGAAATCAGACCTCATTAAACATCAGAAAATTCACACAGGGGAGAAATCTCATGAATGTAACGACTGTGGAAAAGCTTTTAGCCAGAAGTCAAACCTCATCAAACATCAGAGAATCCACACAGGGGAGAAACCTCATGAATGTAATGAATGTGGAAAAGCCTTTATCCAGAAGTCAAACCTCATCAAACATCAGAGAATCCACAGAAGGTAGAAACTTGATAACTGTCATGACTGGAAAAGCAAGAGATTTCACACGGGAGAAGTCTTATGAATGTAATGACTGGAAACCTTTGGCAATAAATCATAACTCAGTGCATCAGAATTCACACAAGAAATCTCATGAATGTGATAACTAAAAAAGGCTTTTGCTGTTAAGTCTTGATTAATAACATACCAGAGAATTCACAGAGGAGAAACCCCATGTGGGTAATGACTATGGAAAAGGCTTTGGCCAGTAATCAGACCTGATTGAACATCAGAGAAATAAACATAGGGAAGAAATATGAATGTAATGACTTCAAAATCCATTTGCTATAAATCTCAACTCATAACAGATGAGCAAATTCACACAGGAGAGAAAAGTTATTAATGTAATGGGTGTGGAAGAGCTTTGGGAATAATGCATCAGAGAACTCATATAGAGGGGAAACTTCCAAATCCAATGACTGGAGAAGCCTTTCACCATTAATCAAACATCAGAACATTCACACAGGGAAGAAACCTTATGAATGCAATGGCTCAGAATGCTTTTTACCATAATTCAACCCTCATTGAACATCATCTAATTCATAATGGGGAAAAGCCCTTTGAATATAATGCATGTAGAAAAATCTTTCCCAGAGAACTCACACGGGGAGAAAGCTTGTGAGTGTAATGAGTGTGGGAAAGCTCTTTGCCAGAATCACACCTTATAACATCAGAAAATTTGTAATGTGGAAATTATTAATGACTGTAATATGGAAATCCCAAATGACAGTTGTCCCACACATCACCATCATTGTATAATGGGGCCACCTCTAATTCTATGAATTGCAAAACTCATCTACTGAATTTCCCTGTACTACTGAGTGTACAATTTTAAAATGTTTCATTCATGATTCCCCTTTTCTCCTTTTCTTCCTTCAATTTCTATTCTTTCTTGCCCAGAGAAAAGAACATTGAATAAAGTCTGAATGGACTTTGTTTTTGCAAAAGAGAATCAGTAATACACTTTTCCATTACTATAACTTTACAATGATTTTGTTATGATCATTTTGGTTGTATTATCTCCCCTCTCCCAAAGATGACCCTCAATTTTATTGAAAATGTATACTTTCATTCCTTCATGATTTATAGTCCTTTCTGGATTTTAATCAGATTTACATTCAACTCAGGATTTTCCAAGGTTTTCCAAGGTCACATGGCCATTCCTTGGTGAACTCAACAGTGGAATGTGAGAAACAGTACAAAAGCACATTTTACATCAATACAAGACAGTCTACCTGAGAGATGTTTTCTTTTTTTTTTTTTTTTTTTTTTTTTGTTTGACAGAGTGGACAGTGAGAGAGAGAGACAGAGAGAAAGGTCTTCTTTTGCCATTGGTTCACCCTCCAATGGCTGCTGCGGCTGGCGCACCACACTGATCCAATGCCAGGAGCCAGGTGCTTCCTCCTGGTCTCCCATGGGGTGCAGGGCCCAAGGACCATCCTCCACTGCACTCCCTGGCCACAGCAGAGAGCTGGCCTGGAAGAGGGGCAACCGGGACAGAATCCAGTGCCCTGACCGGGACTAGAACCCTGTGTGCCGGCGCCTCAAGGCGGAGGATTAGCCTGCTGAGCCGTGGCGCCGGCCGAGAGATGTTTTCTTAAAGATCTTTCAAATTTTAATTTGTTGCCCTAAAGTAGCAATTAGGATTATAAGACACATGAGAAAGACCCAGAAAGCATAATCTATTGCTGCAACTAAAATTTGATTTACTTTAATTTATTTTTCATTACTACCTACTACTTTAATGCATACTGGGTTATTCCAATTTTCAATCCTTTGAAAATTTTACATGATATCTAAGATTCTTAAAGTTATTTTCAAAGGAGTTTTAAACACTTGAACTGATTTTACTAATTCAAACAACTAGGGGTTATAATTACATAAATTTTAATTGTTGAATTTTATTATCATATATGACATATTGGCTTGCTAAAAGCTTCCAAAGGATGTCAATAATAATGTGACTTATGATAGTGACAACAGATTGAGGTTGTTTCTCATAGTAAAATGTGTATTATTGTGTGACAATTACAAGTAATTCATGAATTACTGCACATGTATTCATTACAACTGAATGATCCTTACAAAGATTTCTGATAGGACTATTAATAGTTACATAGATATAGATCCTTATTCTCCTAAAATTGGTGAAAATTCATTAAATACAATACAGAAACCCAACCATCTAACTATGTAAATGGTCATTAAGAGATAACAGTGAATGAAAAAATGATTACTAAAAAATCTAGTAAGATTAAGAACATGGAAGTTCAATAGTATTTGAATTTAGAACTTCTTTTTTCTTCTCCTTTCTTGAATCTTTATCAGGAAACTGCAGTCCAATTGTGTGCAGCAAAGAACATGGAGCTTCTTTTCCTGCCAGTTAACTGAATATCTTTCATCTGATAAGTCATCACTATTTCTCCTCCTTTCCTAGGAATCTATTGCTGTTCCTATTAGGTATGGAAGAGCTTGGGGTTTTGGCCTTTTGTACCCTCAAGGATGAGACAGAAAGGAGAACCAATCTCAACAGAGACAGGTTACTCTATTAAAAGCTAAAACAGTGGCAGCCTGTTCTCACAAAAAGATGCAGAAAAGATGTGTTTAGATCTGAGTTTTTATGTGGTTAAGGAGAGAATTTACCACTAGTAGGGGAGGTAGAAGACAACTGGTGGAAGAGTAAGGAGCTCTTTGAAGCCTCTGGAATCTTTCCTCTTTTCTGTTTCACAAGATGTCTTGTGCAGCTTATCTGCTTTGGCATTTGCTTGGCAAGGAATCTGGAAGGGTTTGGTTTGGCACCAAGGGTCTCAGTAAAAGGAAAGAAATGGAGTGGGGTGGGGAGAGGAATAGGAAAGAGATGAGGAGAAAGGTATGACATGTCCTTTCATTCCTATGTGCTGGGTGAGTATAGATGAAAGTGCAGGTGATCTCTTATGGATCTAGGCTCCTCATCAGGCAAGAGAACTTTTGTAATGCTTCATCCATAATGTGATGTTCACAGTCATAAATCTATGAAAAAAACTGAGTAGATTTGTGTTTACTTAGCTTGCAGGGATGAGGCTATATTTAAGAAGTAGTTACAGAGCACTGAGTTTCTAGTTGAAGTGGTAAATGTGTTCTAATTGGCAGTCATTGCTGCAAGCATCTGTTAAAACAATTGAAGGGTACACTCTCAATTGAAAAAAATGCATGGTAACTATAAAATAATATCTGACTAAGAAAGCTATAATTTCTGATAATTTTAAAATGTGCATATATAATTATTCTGAATTTTATGTAAATCTTTATACACTAAAATTCCAAAATTAAGATTACAGAAAATGTGACTTTCTGTCTTTGGGATGCATTCTATATGTAGACATGGCTAAAAATGCTTGAAAATATGCAGCATATAAACTGAAGTAATAGAATAATTAACTCAGGGAGCAGTGAGGGAGTGATTAATTCATGGGTGGTGAGGCAAAATCTATATCTGTTACTAAAGGATAGAATCATGAATCCATATAGAACTAAATATTGATCAAACTCCAGAAGTATGTGACTGCATATTTTTGTTAGTGATTAGTAGATTGACTTTAGATCTTAATTCTGTAAGATCCTCAGTAAATTCTATTCTATAATCATGATGCTTTTTATTTTTACTGTGTTATTACAAGTTAAGTATCAGTACTCCTGTTCTTGAATTCATATACCAAGATTCTTGAAGGTCATATTGTGTACTGTTCTTGAAAATTAGTGCTAAGGTTCTTGAAATCATGAACTCCAATCACTATGTGGGAGGTATAACATTGATCCAGAGAGAGGAAGTGAGTGGCCAAGGGAAAGTCACCAACAATTGTGTCTTTCCACTCTACTCAAACATTCTCCATGGAATCTATATGTCCAATTGCAAAATGAACAACTCCTCCTGGCAGAGGTATGTGACCACCATTACAATAATAATTCTTGGAAAAGGATATGAGTATTCATAACTCCTTGATGTTATTCTAGTTATTTGATCACTACAATTTCATTTACTTTTAAATTAATAGGACCTTGAGACCAAAGAGTTAGGAGTACAATTGCTTCTGTGGTTCTTAAGTAAAAGTACTTAGACTGGGAATCCCAAAACTGAAGTCTCTTGAATAAACTCACTGATGGGCAATTACAGGATCTAAAAAATTAAAGGAAGAGGACAATTCATACCTAATACATAGAGTAAATGTGTGATTACTTGTGACCCAAGAATCAGCTTCCCCATCAGATTACCAAATAAATCTGCATCAAGCTGATAACAGAATCTTTGTCCATAATAATTTGGTAGGAACAAGAGTAACAGCAGCAGCTTTGTGAAACCCTTCAATTCATCTCTACCTAGTTCATGACAGAAATAAGCAAAGGGAAAATAAAGTTCAAATCAAGCTCTTATAAATGTAATTAGAGTTTTATTAGATTGATAAAAGGACAAAGGGATGAGTGGAAAAATGGTCTCATGGATTTCAAAGATTTCTAGATAAGCAAATATCAGACAGTGGAATTTTAAAATTGCAGAGTGATTTTGGAACACATACCAGATTACCCAGCTATATTATGTTAATAATAACTACACACCCTGCCTATATGTAGAATATTGATGGCTCAAAGTTATTTTAGTTAATGGAATCAAGCAACATTTTAAGGTATCAGACAGGAGCTGCCAAACAAATATTAGTTTTTAAATATTTTGAAATGGAATAGAGTCCTTTTGGTTTATACCCTACTAAAGTATCTAATAAATAAATATCAGTTCTATAACTGCAATGCATTCATAGAAATTAAAAAATCCAAATATTCTTACATTTCATTTATCCATTTCCAGCACATTTGAACACGAACTGTTCAAACCAGCAATTAATAAGAATTTCCCATGGATGTCATATGTGTAGAGTTGAGTTCTGATGCAATCATTCTGTTCTCCCAGGAGACTGATTATCCAGGAAATATGTAGATCACCATTTTTAGTACCTGATGGAGATGTGTAGCATCTTGTGGAATGAAGTCAAATCTTCGCATAATAGCAGCAGTGCAGGTCAGTGGCAAGGTTCTTATAGGTTAATGTGACCATGAGTCTCTCCAACCACTTATATCAGCTTCACAGAATTTCTGGACCCAGGGCTCTATTGATGCTTCATTATCACTCTGGGATATGAGTCTTTCCTTTGAAGGTTGGTGTGAGCAACCAAGAGGTGGTCTTGGCTTAAGGGTATACCACCAAGTGGGACAAATTCTCCCCTCTGCCTTGGTGGGAGCATAAACTTTCATAGATTTTGAGTTTCAGGATCAGATATGCAGGTGTACCCTGTGGGCCTGGATGGGTCCAGAGGGTACCATAGTTCAAATCCACAGTATATGTCTATGGATGGGGTTCTCAAGCTTGCTTTTAAAGATTGCTTCATCAACAGGTGTTGCCCTTCCATAAGGTCATACTGTGCCTCCAGATGTACAAAAACTGGTTTGAGAAGATATCTATATAGTGCAGCTGATTCAAGATCAGGAGTGTATATCATGTGAGATGGAAAGTGTGTGTGGGGAGCAACCCGGACTAGACTAACTTACTGGAATTAGGACTTATTCTATGCATCTGCTCTCCCACAATATGGCGCTGAGAAGGGAGTAAGAACTTCTATACAGCTGCCTCCAGTTCAACCAATAAACAGCAGGACCTGCTCCTGATTGGAGGAGAGCAGCATACTCGGCGTGTGGGTAACAGAGTTGGGATTGGCGGAAGAGGACTATAAAGGAGGAGAGAGACAGCATGCACCAGGAACATCTAAGGGGAACATCTACCTGAAGGAACACCTGTGTAGCCCCCGAGAGAGCCAGCCGGCAGTGTGCCGCTCCCCCATGGAAGTGGGGAAAGTGGCCAGGGGGAACCACCCTTCCACGGAGGTGGAAGGGACAGTAGCCAACCCGGGAAGAACCAGCAGCAAACCCGGGGAGGGCCGAGCAGACAAAAGAACAACGCAGGGTCCTGTGTCGTTCCTCCACGAAGACGGGGAGCGACAGAAAGTTTGCAATGG